TTATCTTACTATCACCTCATTAACATATAAGGATTGGATTTCCATGCGAATTAGAGAATTGAAAACCACTTTCGTAGGGAAAATGATGCAATTGTTTGTTCCCTCCTACTGTTTAACTATCATTGCCTTCACTTGAGTTTCCAAGTAAACTTCTATCACCCTTTAATTTCTGTTCATGGTCATCAACACTGATATTAGAAAATTTATAAGAAATTAACCAAAGACCTATTCATTTTTTGTGGAATAAACTCATGAAATTAATGGGGGCAGAATATGACTGATTTTGATTCCATTATGGTTTCACTATAACTAAAATCAAGTAGGGGAAATGTCTAAACTAAAAAATTAGACATGAGAGAGAGTGGTAAAGTGAGAGACTGGGATTCAGGCAATGGACACTGTTTGATTCATCGATGGACAGCACTGGGTAGTGAGATGATCAGAAATCAAGAGAGAAGTTGGCAGTGGAGGATGGTAGATACAAGGCAACTAAGCAGGAGTAGGAACAGGAATGACCACAGAGAGTGTGGGTATGACAGGGGGCTGTATGAGCAAGCTACAACCTTTTTCTTTACAAACATACTAGATGACTAGAGCTACATGGACATGTGGAGAACCTTCGGCAAGTTTGGGAGGGTATTTGCTATTTACAGTCCACTGAGAAGAGGCAAGAATGGAAGCAGGTTTGGTTTTGTCAGGTTCCTTAATGTAAGGAATACTAGGGAGCTTGAGAAACAACTTGATCAAATAAGGATTGAGGGCGGTAAAATATGGGTAAATCTAGCCAAATACCCAGAGGAGGAAGATGAAGGGGAGAAAGTAAGGAGAATCATTCCAATGATGAAAGTTGTTCAAGGGTAAACATATGAAGATGCTGTACGAGGTCAGGAAGGAGGTGAATCTGGGAAAATTGGAGGGAAGACACTTGAGAGTCCCCTGAAATTTGAAGAAGGAAAATGCAGAACCCATGAAACTCAGAAGTAGCCGAAGAGGAGACAAGTGTGGAAATTGAAGATCAGAGGGGATGAGTGGTCGAGAATGGAGTATAACGTGAAAGAGGAAGAATTTGAGTGGTTGCAAGGATGCTATGTAGGAGTTGCTTACTCAGTGGAGATTTGTACCCAACCTACAAGAGAAGTTCTACATGGAAGGGTATTTCTCATGTAGACTTAGAGCTATGGAGGGAAAATTGGTCCTTATGGACGATGAGGACAAAGATGAAATTAAGGATTTAGTGTAGGGAGCCCCAGATTGGCTTGGTCAATGGTTTTCAAAGGTAAAGCCGTGGTCCCCCTCAATGGTGGCAAAAGAAAGGTTTGTTTGGATAAGGTGCCAGGGAGCTCCTTTACATGCTTGGGGCCCAGAATTCTTTGAATCAATGGCATCAGTTTGGGGCAAGTTCATATGCTTGGATGATAGTACAAGCAAAAAGAAGAGGTTTGACATAGCCAAATTTCTCATATCAACAACAATGATGGATACAATCTCAGTTCACTGGAAAATTAAAGTCAATGAGGATATATGGGTTGAAGTTCTCGAAAAAGGAACTGACAAATAGCATCTTCTCACTGAAGTATGATTTTATGCCGACTTTTAACAACGACTCAGAACTTGATGAATCTTAGTTGGATGCCTTTGATTATATAGCAGGCCTCGATGATGAAAGCCGGGGAGCAAAAATTGAAGTTAACACCAGTGAGGAAGCTTCAAGTAGAGAAACACTTGGGTGTAAAGAGAGAGGAATTAGGTTGGCTGTCATTTCAAATTCAAAGGCAAATTTTGAATTTGAAGGAAAGGGTAATGACGAGGAACGGTCCAAAAAGGGGGATAGGCTTTCACATAATAGGATGGGTGATGAAGAGTTTGTTGATATGGTAGCAGATAGTTTTGAAATGGATATGGAAAAGGATGACGCAAGTGAGAGAGATGGTATTGGAATGTGTGAATCAGGACTCAAGTCAAAGATCTTTCCAGTTCAGATCTTATAAAAAGCTCAAGAAGATATGGGCTAGACCTTCAACTTAGAAGTGATCCATTTCTAATGGGCCAACTACAAATAGTAGAAGGATGTACTACAAAAGAAAATTGGGCCCTTGAAACAATATCTGACAACTCACAATTGGGGATTGATATGAGGCCCGAAGTGGTGGTAGAAAATAAAGACCCATAGAAAAACGTAGAAACAGAGTCATGAATATTATGCAGAATTGCAGCTCTTGTTGGGACAAGTTGGGAAGTGTAGAAAGAAGCAGGAAAAAGGAGACTTGCACAGTGCAGAAAAAGGACAAGAAAAAGAGAAAGAAAAGGTACAAATCATGAACTTCTATATACCAAAGATCAATCCTTCTCGAACTTATGAAACAGAAGAAGAAAATCAAGGGCAGATCTGGCACGAGACAAGCCAAGGAAGAAGCAATGCTGGAGTTCTTGCTAAGCACGAGCAACTCAGCAACGGGTGGTTCTGTAGGAGATAGTGGTATTTAGAACTGCAACATAATGCTGAAGGAACTCCCCAACAAGTGGATTGCTACTAATCTATGGGAGTTTGCGAAGAAGATAGGGGCAGTTGCAAAGGAAGAAGAGTTGGTCATCGAGAAGCTTGAGGAGATGGAGACAAGAGACAGAACAGCAAATGAGACAAAAAGCTTAAAGGGACCGAGCAAGGAACAGAAGGTTAGTGCTGTGGTTAAATGAATATTTTGTCATATAATATTAGAGGATTGGGGGATGTGGGGAAGAAAAGAATTCTTAGAGATTTAGTGAATAAAGAAAGTGTGGATTTCCTAGCAATTCAAGAATCTAAGAGGTGTGGGATAGATAGAAAATTTTGCAGTTTGGTGTGGGGGGGCAGAAGATTTTGACTAGGTAGCTAAGGATTCGGCAGGAATGTTGGGAGGTTTCGTTTGTGTATGGAATGCTATAGCACTCAGCTTGAAGAAAGTTTGGGAGGGAGAGAACTTTATCGACATACAAGGGGTGTGGGGAGTAGAGGATGTTTGTGTGAATATCATCAATGTTTATTCTCCATGCCAATTAGCTGGTAAAAGAACCTTATGGGAGGAGTTAAAAAAATTAGTTTTGCAGACAAGAGGGATATGTTGTCTTGTGGGAGATTTTAATGCGGTAAGGAATATAGAGGAGAAAATAGGAAGTAGAACAGTAACTATTGAGATGAGGGAGTTTGATAACTTGATTATAGAATCAAACTGATCGATATACCATTAGTGGGTAGAAAATTCACATGGTACCAGCCTGGTGGCAAATTGATGAGTAGAATTGACATATTCTTTTTGTCTGAAGAGTGGTTGAATAAGTGGGGGGAGGCAATACTGTGGGGACTAACTAGAACAATATCTTACCATTGTCCAATCCTTCTTAGACATTAGAAAGTGAACTGGGGACCTAAGCCATTTAGATTCTTTGATGTTTGGCTCGAGCAAGAAGGGTGTTGGGAGGTGATAAGAGAATCATGGGGAAAGGAACAAAATTCATGGGTGGGCTGGATTCCGTCTCAAGGAAAAACTCAACAACACCAAAGAGGTGTTGAAGACATGGAGCAGAAACCTTGTCCCTAAAATTGAAAAAGGAATAAAAGATGTTACGACAGAGATTTCTCAGTTAGATGTGAAAGGAGAGATGATTCAACTTTATGAGGAAGAGATTAAGAGAAGAAGATAGGCATTCTTAGTTTTGTAGGATAACATAAGATACAAGGAAAGTATGCTGCAGCAAAAATCCAGGAAAGCATGGTTAGCTAAAGGGGATGCAAACACAAAATTTTTCCACAATTGTGTGAAGAGGAGATGGAAGAGGAATGAAATGAATAGTATTCTTATAAATGGAGCTCATATTGCGGAAGCTAATAGATTGAAAGAAGAAATTGCCTCCTTTTTTGAGGAAATATTTATGGAGGAGCAGTGGAAGAGACCATCTCTAGAAGGAGTCCAATACAAACAAATTTCCTCGGAAGATAATGACGCCCTCATTGCACCTTTTTTTGAAGAAGAGATCAAGACAGTTGTATGGGATTGTGAAAGCTCGAAGGCACCGGGACCTGATGGCTTCAACTTTAAATTTATCAAGAGTGAATGGGAGACAATCAAAGGGGATGTTATTGATTTTCTACAGGAATTTCAGAAGCATGGCAAAATGGTGAGGGGTCTAAATACTTCATTCATAGTTCTTGTGCCATAAGTCGAGAATCCATAGAAAATCAAGGAATATAGACCAATTTTGCTGATTGGGGGAATGTAACAAATCCTTGCCAAGATACTTGCTAATCGACTTAAGAAGGTGCTGGCTAAAATAGTTGGTGAACAGCAAATGGCATTTATAAGCAGACGACAATTAATTGATGGGGTTGTCATAGCAAATGAGGTCATAGATGAAGTAAAAAAGAAGAAGAAGGAAGCCTTTTTGTTTAAGATTGGCTTCGAGAAAGCATATGACAAGGTTAGCTGGAGGTTTCTTGATTTTATGCTGCAAAAGATGAGTTTTTCAGTTGCTTGGAGAAAATGGATTATGGAGTGCTTAAGTTCAAGTATGGTGTCAATTTTGGTCAATGGCAACCCTACAAGACAATTCACAGTCTCGCGAGGTCTTCAGCAAGGGGATCCACTATCCCCATTCTTATTTCTAATGATTGCAGAAGGGATTAATGGGCTGGTTTTGAATGTAGTAAAGAAAGGTCTACTGGAAGGAGTCGAAGTGGGAGATAAAGGCTTCAAGGTCACACATCTTCAATATGTAGATGATACATTACTATTCGGCACAGCTACCAATAAAAATGTATGGGCTATGAAGAGCATTTTGAGGGCGTTCGAGTTGGTATCGGGATTAAAGATAAATTTTAACAAAAGTCAGCTCATTGGTATCGAAGTAAAGGAAGAGTGGCTTGACAAAATGGCATGGGTCCTGTGTTGTAAAAAAGGATCTTTGCCTTTTTGTTATCTAAGGATACCCACTGGGGGAAGGTGTAGGAAGCTCTCATTCTGGAAGCCATTGTTGGAGGTTGTAAACAAAAAATTATCCACATGGAAAGGGCAGTACTTATCTCTAGGTGGAAGGATCACTCTCATTAACTCAATGCTGTCCAATCTACCTGTGTTTTGGATGTCGTTGTACGTGATCTCGAAAGGTACAGTTCTATCTCTTGATAAATTTTGTAGGAGATTTTTAGTGGGGGGGGGTTGAGGGAGGTAAGAAAATAAATTGGGTTAGATGGGACAAGGTTTGAAAGGATAAAGAAAAGGGGGGCTTAGGAGTGAAGGATTTAAGGAAGTTTAATCTAGCTTTGCTACGTAAGTGGTGGGGGAGACTGGTGAATGAGGAAGATGGGCTATGGAAAAAAGTAGTATTGTAGAAATATGGAAGGGATGGGGAACCAAGGTATAATTGGTTGAGGGAGGGTAGTGGTTTCGGCTTAAGCTGGTGGAGGGACATTTGTAGGTTGAATATCCTAGACCATAAGAATAAGGGCTGGTTAGCAGAGGGGTTGAGAATTAAAGTAGGAAAAGGGGATAACATTAAATTGGTTTAAGTACCATTTTAGTCCCTCAACTTTACACTTTGGTATCAAAATTGTCCCTTACCTTTAAAAAGTACCAAAATTATCCTCGAACTTTCATTTTTAGTACCAAAATAGTCCTTCCGTCAGTTAAATGACAGGTGTCA